GACAAACATGCAGTCAGGAATTAGTACTTGGGTTTTGCCAAAAAACCCATAATTTCAGGTTTCTGGGACCTGCGGCGTTTGATTGCCATGAGTCGTAAGTTTACAGGGAGGCCGCCACCTTTATCGACTCATCCAAGCGGCAAGTATTGGGGTAAACCTCCAGCTTTGGTGCCACCTGGACACAAAGGCAAAGGAAAAGGCGGCCGTATTGTCTTCTCCGCACCAGAGGAGTCCATTTGTGACACCATTGACCACAGCAATTTGCGGGGAATTTTGAGAGACCTTTGCTACTGGCAGAGCCACGTCACGACAGTGGAAGAGCTTGCTGGCAAAGTGACGTCTGCCGATTGGTACCCTTTGCTGTTGGGCAAACTTGCTGAGTCGGTCGTCGTAATATCAGGTGCTCCCAATGTCGGCAAATCCAGCCTAGCAGTTCACCTGGCCAAGACTTTGGGTTTGATGCGGACAAAGACTACGAGCAAAAATTTCTGGCTGTTTGCTCGTAGTGAAAGGCCGTATTTTTCCCTCTGGGTGTATTGCACCGATTCGTTCTGGAGTGAAGAGGAGCCATCGTGGCCTAGGATGCGACAATCTGTATCATCCATCACTTCGAGCGAAGAATTCGGCACTGGAGCAGTCATTCTCGAGGGTCACAGGATTTTTGCTTTTCCAGGTTATGCCGACTTGGCCACCACTATTGTTTACCTGGCGGCTACTGACAAGCTTTTGTTTGAGCGAGGAACAGAAGCAGGGTCAATTCGGAAGCACAAGCTTTTCTTGTCGAACGCACTAGACCAACTTCAAAAGCTCAACAAGATGATCATTCTGGAAGGCGAAAAATCGCAGGTCTATTTGGTGTGCCAGGCCTTACAAATCGCCCTCCTAGAGGACGCGAATTTGGACGCATCACATCTGTCGGCGGACATCGAACTCGACGGGAGGTGGACATTCTAAACTGCCTTATGTTTATACGCAGACCGGGCAAGTTATGGCAGTTATGGTCGACTCAGGATATTTGTTTGTGCTTAACAACGAGACGACGTTTTTGGCTTCCTTCATTTTTTTTCGTACAATTTCCAGGTTTCACAATGTGCTGGCCATTTTTGGCTTTCCTTCAAATTTTTCGGGCCGTGACAATGCAGTGTATCTCTCAGGCAGGCACAAGCCTCAAAGCAGGACAATCATGTAGTCCAGAGAAAGTTTGCCTTCAACCGTCATTTTGTTCGGGGGTCAGTCGGGACGCCTGAAGGCAATTCAAGCATCTCAGGCAACCATGGGATCCAACGTCGGGCACCATCACTTGGATCTAACATCCTGAAAGCATCCAAGCATTTCAGAAACCATTGGATTCATTGACTTGCACCTTTAAATTTGGGATCTGGACCCTCGAGGGCTTCTCAATGCAAACTTTGTTCTCAATGTGAAATTTCGGGTTACTTAAATCATCTGTTTGGATGGTTTGTTGTTAAACATTGAACCCGATCGTTTTCATTGGGCCAAATCCTCGAAGTGAAATTCACCTCTCACTAAAGGAACGGGTAGCACGTTTGCAAAGGCAGGTTTGCAACTTGCTAGGACACTTAATCCTGTGGAACCCCATGGAATAAGGAGAATAGTCTCTGCCGACAGTAGTTCCATGTTTTGTTGCCTGGTTTGTATTCAACAGTTTTTTGATTGACAGGCGACTCAAGTGTCACACCGTAACTCAAGTATACCCTGTAATCCGGAGTGGCCCTGTTGTGATGTGTTGTCACATTAACACCCTGTTTCTCTCCTACCAAAATGTGGGCTCGCAGCTCTAGGCATTGTGAATGTCCGGACCAAGCTCGAGGAAGTCGTTTCACCATGCTGACGCCCAGGGAGAACCTGGATGTTGACAGCGAAGATTCGGAACCCACACCCCACAGACACTCGGGTTTTAGGATCGCTGCCGAGGACGGACTCCAATTGTCGCAGTTCCTCACCAGAATCTCCAACAAGAGGTCAAGCGAGATTCGAGTCTACTCTTTTCAATCGAGAAAACCACTCCCAATGACCACAAAGATGGGCGACCTTCCTTTGAAGATGTCAATACAAATCTGGTCAGAGGATTTGGCCGGAGCTATCGAAGAAGGCCTGAAATCCTGCCACGTGAAGAGCCCCGACAAGGACGATGCGAAGGATTACAAAGTATTCTTCATCAGGCATATTTCCTCCTGGGAATTTTTTGACAGTTGTGAGACAGACCGAGCTCAGCAAGATCGTCGAATTCAACAACTCTCTGACGAGGTGAACAGTCTTCGCACCAGGTTGGAAAACTTGGAACGGGCACAAGGTACTCGCTGAGGGAAAGGGCTGCCCATGATTTGAGGGCAATCTTTTCCCTTCAACTCTGCTCCGAAAGGCAATTGCCCCACATTGCGGTGATGTTGGGCGTCGACCCCTGACGGTCGAACCGCACAGCGGTGCCACGTCGAGGAAACGAGGGCCTTCAGACTTTTCATTGCAATTCGTGGGCGTGACAATTTCAGTGGACTACGTGTTGAACTACGGCTTCCTGCTTTCGCGTTTACCATTACATCGGACAACCTTACAGTTGGACGATTGCGTGTACAATTGAGTGTGGCATCGTTACAGTATAGGATGGCGGTTCGAACGATGGTTTAGCTTCTCAGTTACAGATGTGTATGGCCGTGAGGTTTGTCCCGGCGGTGTGTCCCGATTCAAGGAAACCTCCCAGAGAGCTACTCTGGAAGACCGACCCAAAAAGGCCGCTCATGGGCTTGAGACATCATCTGGCGGAAAGCATCGGTGGCATGCTGCTGAAACAGTCTGGAACCAGTCAGGAGACACGGTACTGACTGCCTTATTTTGTATATCCGGTCTGGATTGGATGAGGAACGTCGCTGTAGACCATCTTCTCCTGGACGCTTGCTACGAACATGGGCGTTGCTTCTGCCTCCTGCGTTGTCCATTTTGCCGATGGATTTCAACAAGGGGTAAAGGAGTTTGGTTTGCACCCTACACCTGAAGGACCCTTCCACGAAGGGAACGATCTTTCAGCTGTACGCTGCAAATCTATATTGCAAAGCACTTGTGGCTCAACCTATTTAAATTTTCCCTGTATGAACTCGAACAAATCAAGGGACATTGCATCAGAGCGAGGTTAAGATTTTCCACGGAAGCACAATATTCTATTGTCCGGACAGCGTTGCATCAAGATCAGTTTTTGTTCTGCGAGCTCTTTGACCTCCCTGGGTACAACTTTTGTGATGAATATGTAAATTTCGAATGCAAATGCCGTTTTTCAGACTGGCTTGTAGGACTTGCCAACCACGGCAATCCAGCAGACCAACCGTCCCAATGGGGCTTATCCGACATGTCCACGTGGCATTGAAAAGTCTGCATCAGTCCTGCCATTCCCCTCCATAGTCCGAGGGATTTGCAAACCACAGCAACCTGAGGACGAACTTTCGAGGGTGTGCTTCGAAACACCTCGGCTTAAGCAGCAAGCATAGTCGAGAGCTTGCAGAGTGGTCCTGCCAGAGCACTAGTCGCAGTGGGGAATTATCGGGTGCTCTGACACTTAGCATCAAATCACTTTGTGTCAACGTTTGACAATGATGGAATCATGGCCCATCCAATGCACCAAAGACAAGCTCAGCTGGAACCACGACCGGCTTTGGATTATACCCCCGACTGTGCAATTACTGGAAGCAAAAAGGAAATCAATAATAAGTCCGAGTGTGGTGCACTTGTGTTCTCATTTTCGAAGCGTCGGCAACTGCGTTTTTTGTAGTAAGTTTTATTTATGTAAATGATACATTTACATAAATACTGCTTACCTTACATCACAACGGTACACCATATAATTTAATATATAACTATATGGATATCAATTTAACATTTGAAACTTCCACCACCAGTGTTGGATTAGTCTCAATCGATCCTGGTTTTGTGGAGAAATAAGATGTCACTCTTTTGAAAAAAGATGAAAGCCTTATTTCTCCAAACAAAAATTTGTGAACCCTCACAAATAAGGATCAACATGAATCATCTCTGGTTGGTGGTAAACAAACGTTTGTTAAGGGTTGAAACATCCAACCAAATGTGGAGACGCAAACAATTTGGCGTTCAACTTCCCATTTCTATTTTCTAATTTTCGATGTGGTATTCAATAATTCCATTAAGGAAACACCACATCCTGCATACGTCACATCATCATTTGTAATGCTGTGACTTTTCCCAATCAAGTGGTGGGAGGGCGGGAGTCCCTTTAAAATAAGGGCAATTTTTTCACCCACCCCGTTTCTCACTCCCACCCAAAAAATTGGGGAATTATCGGGTGCTCTGACACTTAGCATCAAATCACTTTGTGTCAACGTTTGACAATGATGGAATCATGGCCCATCCAATGCACCAAAGACAAGCTCAGCTGGAACCACGGCCGGCTTTGGATTATACCCCCGACTGTGCAATTACTGGAAGCAAAAAGGAAATCAATAATAAGTCCGAGTGTGGTGCACTTGTGTTCTCATTTTCGAAGCGTCGGCAACTGCGTTTTTTGTAGTAAGTTTTATTTATGTAAATGTATATACTGCTTACCTTACATCACAACGGTACACCATATAATTTAATATATAATTATATGGATATCAATTTAACATTTGAAACTTCCACCACCAGTGTTGGATTAGTCTCAATCGATCCTGGTTTTGTGGAGAAATAAGGGAATTTTGTCTGCGCTCATGCGTCTTTTTGACCTTTTTGTTCACACTGAAGATCCTTTTGGAGAGGACAAGGTTCTGGCTTTGAAATCAAGTGGCATGTGTTTCCAAGGGGCTTTCACTTTTAGCGCTTTATTAGTTATAAGATGTTAATTATAAAGTTATAAGGCCTTGATAATCACATTTCTGGCTTCCAATTTATACAAATTTACTAATGGTAACGAATTTTACCTGTACATCCTCTGTTTCAACTATAGCTAGTGCTGATTGGACACAATTGCCGTGCCTCCTTCGATGTTTTTTTTCCCTGGTCAGGTGCAAGTCCACCGCGACCATGTATTGCGGGCTTGGAAGCTTCTGCAGATTCTGCACATTATGCGAGACTATTGGAGCAAGACTGAAGAGGATGGCGCCAAAGGAATCGTTCTACCTCCTGCTTCTGCTGATTTGCAGAGCCGTGTGCCGGAACACATCAAATGCCCACAGTCCCAGGGGCTTGACCATTTTCCAGCAACTCAAAGATTTGAACCCAAGCCTGAGATCCCGTCGGAAGACGAAGCCACACCCACACCCAAGGAGTGCCTCACCGGCAAGGCCTTTGACGCTGCTATGGCAAAGGGCTACAACGATGCTGGCCTTTCCGTCCAGCTGCCGGCCTCTTGGATGTCTGACAGGGACATCTTCCGCAGAACCGTGCTCAGAGGCAAGATGGAAGTCACGTATGGAGATTTGTCCCTCCGAAAAACTGAGACCCTGGATGATGGGAAGAAGAAAAAGTGGCAGTGTCCAAGGACACATGGGAGCAAGTCGTCAAAGCTGCCTTGGCCCTTTACCCCATTGGAAAGCTTGAAGCTGCAGGAACCTCCAAGTCCAAGCTTGTCTTCTCTCAAGTTCCTACGCAGAATGCGAAGCGAGTGGCCTTCCACAACATGCTCGTGGATTCCTGCCAAGTCTCAGTGCGCCAGTGGTGCGACAGCTTACAAAAAGAAACTGATCGAGTTGCCAGTCGGAAACGGAAGCAGGGCGAAACAACAGAGAAGCCCGGGGACGAGGATTAGTTCCTTGCGAACTTCCGGTGTTTCCACACTAGCATGGGTGAAGACAGCTTGCAGAAGCCACTGCGCAGCTGCTGTGTCAAATACCTCAAAGACAGTTTAGAGCTGCATGCCAACCTTGGTTGCTGCGTTTCGCAAATGCAAAAAGCATCCAGCTGCATGTGGTTGCATTTGTGCCAGGAAGAATGTGTCATGTTTTTTGCAGGGACAGGCAGATCAAGAATCAAGATCAACATCAAATATATAATCTTGCAGTACTGGAGCAATATGAATCTGCCTTGCAACATTCAAATCAGGATGTATCATTTGGGCCTGTTTCCTTTACAGGGACACGCAAATCAACAATCAAGATCTGAATCAAACGTGCAGTCTTGCACCACCGTATGAATACAGTGTTTCGAGACACTCACAACATTCACAACCTCCACGCATAGACGTCCACAACATCCCCATTCCCTGCCTGCCCCCCGACAGACGTCCCCACCCACGTCCCACGGCTCCCACGTCCCCCGTCCCCTACGTCCCCCACGTCCCCCGCGTCCCCGACGTGTCCCACGTCCCCTACGTCCCCTACGTCCCCTACGTCCCCTACGTCCCCTACGTCCCCTACGTCCCCTACGTCCCCTACGTCCCCTACGTCCCCTGTCCTGTATACGTCCCCAACGTCCCCCACGTCCCCGACGTCCACGTCCCACGTCCCGGCGTACACAGCAGGCAATCCTCCTCTACTGCCCGTTTCTTCCTTGGGGCAACTTCTTGCGATACTGGTCGAGTCTGGCAGATTCCCGACCCTACGGGATCTTGGAGTGGTGCAGTTTCCTCCGATTGGCCTCACAACGAATGTCAGAACCTGCTTGGGAGGTGCCTCGACTTGAAACATGCGTACAAACAGCTGGTCAGACACCCACAAGATGCTTGGGCCGCGGTATTAGCAGTGTTGAATCCCCATGACCACCAGGTCTACTTCTTCGAAGCTGTCGCTCTTCCGTTTGGAAGTGTGAGTTCAGTCATAGCATTCAATCGGGCTGCACGTGCATTGCGTTGCATTTTGGCCAAGCTCTTTCGTTTGGTTGTCACAAACTTTTTTGACGATTTCTGCCAGCTTGAGTTGGATCTTATCAAAGGATCAGCATGGAAGACGGCCGAGATGGTAATGAATCTCTTGGGCTGGACTATTTCAACAGGCGAAGACAAGCGCAAGCCCTTTGAAAAGAGATTCGAGATCCTTGGAGCTGTCATATCTCTTCCCCCTCCATCGGGGGGACCTGTCACTGTGGAAAACAAGCAGTCGCGCTTGGATCAAATCGGCTCTTATACGCCTCTGGCCATACGTTTGGGAAGTGTACTCAGCTGGCATGTCAATTGCTTCATCGTTTCAGTGGTGCAGGGGCTTCAGTCAAAGTTTCAGCTGAGTTGGTTCATGCGACCTCAGAAGCTCTCAGCTTACTGATCAATGCCGGTCCGAGGAGAATTGACCGCTGGAGCGACAAACCGCCGATACTTGTTTTCACAGATGGTGCGGTGGAGGAAGGGGCCAACAAAGTGACTCATGGTGCGCTTCTCCTGGATCCGGTGAATCAACACAGTTTGGTATTTGGCGACCACGTGCCCCAAATGTTTGTCAATGCATGGATGCGTTTTGGAAAGCGCCAGGTGATTGCCCAGACAGAGATATTTCCTGTCCTTGTTGCAAAAGAAACTTGGGCCAATGTGCTGGCTGGCCGCAGTGTGCTGTGGTTCCTTGATAACGAATCAGCAAAGATGGCTCTGATTCGGATTTTTTCTCCAATACTTGATAGTTTTCTCTTGCTTCAGACAAATGCAAAACTTGACCTTGAAACGCAATCGAAGAACTGGTACAGCCGTGTTCCTTCAAGGAGCAATCCTTCCGACTGCATATCGACTTGAATTTGGAGAGTATGGCAGTTCCGTGAAATGCGAACCTTGCTACACAAAAGTGACCAGCACTTTTTTCAGCTTTCGAGTTGCTACTGAAGTCTTTGGAAGTGGGAAGTGAGAATTGCAACTCTTGATATACATGTAAGCCAAAGGATTTACTGCTGCGTGTTGTGACACGTTTTCTTCTGGCCACAGGGCCTTTTGCGTTGCGAATGAGATGTGACATTCCGTTGTCATGCAAACCAGTTGATGGGACGAGCGAAAGCACTTGTTGGACCTGCCCCGTTTCGTGACAATTAATCAATGCGGTCAAAAAGAAAGATTTGAATTGAACATGTCATGTGCAGACGTTTTGTTTTTTATTAATAAGGAAGATGCGCAAGTAACACGTAGCGCGATAAGTATTATTTCACCGAAGGTGATGATACTTTATCGTAAGTAGAGTGTTACTCTGTAGGAGTGTGCTCCTACATCGCGTCTTCCCTCTTCTTTAAGTAGAAGCCCCTAAACGTTCTGCACAACATGTCCCCGCGTTCTCTCTGCGTCCAAAGCGCTCGCAGTTTGCGCTTGCGTGTGTGCACGCTTCCCTCGGAAGTAAGCTTCTGCGCGTCTCTGGGTGTCTAGATTCTCGGGGATCTTGACTTCTAAATCATGTTTTATTTACCGTTTGCACTCTTTCAAACTTGCGTGTTTGAAACTGTTTAAGTTTGCGGTACAAACAGTTGAAGTTTCAGTTTGTTCTGTCCTGTTTTTTATTTGGGAAGTCACTTCAATGTTTGGCACCGCGCCGCCTCAAACCCTTCAGTGGTGGGTGGGAGGGTTTGCAGTCGAAATTTTTCGACACACTCGCGACCCACCCTATCCCACCCGCGAGTGGGGAAGTGAGAATTGCAACTCTTGATATACATGTAAGTCAAAGGATTTACTGCTGCGTGTTGTGACACGTTTTCTTCTGGCCACAGGGCCTTTTGCGTTGCGAATGAGATGTGACATTCCGTTGTCATGCAAACCAGTTGATGGGACGAGCGAAAGCACTTGTTGGACCTGCCCCGTTTCGTGACAATTAATCAATGCGGTCAAAAAGAAAGATTTGAATTGAACATGTCATGTGCAGACGTTTTGTTTGTTTATTAATAAGGAAGACGCGTAAGTAACACGTAGCGCGATAAACCTGATATGTCATATAGATATGTCATGATTCTTCTCCACCGTCTTGTGGTTTGTTAGTGAAAATAAAGAACTAAAAACAAAAACACCACACGTCAATGTGGGGAACAAAAACCCCACACGTCAATGTGGGGGAAAAAAAACAAAGGAACCTGTGAGGGCTTTTGCGTTCAACAGCATCTTTAGTCGGTGTTTCACTTTTTCATTTCATCCTGTGCAGGCAACAACATTTCACGCTCTGATTTTCTGGGTGCCCTGACCACTTTCCCCGTGGGTTTTGTTTCCCAGCTGTTCTGAACAGTCACGGTTAACATCTTTTGCGCGTTTTTCAATTGGCAGACAACATTTTTTTTCAGCATATGATCTCACTTCACCTGGGGCGACGCCCTGATGGCTCTTCCATTGCGCTAGCTCGTCCTCACGGGGGACCCAGACGAGTTGGCTCCCCGGCATTCCGGGCTGTTTTCATCTCCGTTGGAGCTGCGAGGGCTCCCAGAACCTGCATTTGCAGATTTCTTGACTCACCAGATTCGATTTGCTTGCAACGGACCAACGCCAGATTGTTTCTTTTCCTAGCGTTTTCGTCGTCATCGGCAGTGGGGACCCCACGTACTGCAAGAGTTCCGTTGCCACAGACAGCAGTTGAAGCATCAGATGGATCCTCAGATGAATCATCAGACAGTGTTTGATGGGTGGACCTTAATTTCAGATGTAGTTCCAGCCGCGCCCAAGAGTTCAGCTTGCCAACCTTTGCCAGTTCCCCAGAGTAGGCATGTGCAGCGACAGTATCCTGGCCCAGCGTTGACACTTGGTGGTTTACCCATTCCTGTTCCAAAAGTTCATGCAAAATCAGCAACAGTTCCTTTACATGTCAGGGTTCCGCCTTCAGGGGATACAATGGTCTCAGGGACTGCGGACATTTTGTCTTCAAGTTCTTTGCAATCGCACAGTACTGGACTCAGTTTGCCCCTCTTGCCAGCTGGGACATCAAAACGACAACCGGCCAAGACGTCAGGACAATTATTGAGGTTGAAACATCCATCTCAATCGGATTGGTTGGTTCAGCAATGGTCCATCATACTGAAAGACCTGGGTAATTTTTCTACAGTTGCAACGGCTTTGCAAGACTCCAGTCATGCCCCGCAACATGCCTGCTCGCTTATTGGACCAATTTGCACCTTCAACACTGCTGCGGTATTTTCAGGCCTGGACCAGTTTTTCCAAGACACTCAAATTATTGGATTTATCATTGGGCACGCTGACAGAAGCACAGTTGGCAGATGCACTGGTTACTACATCGCTGGCCAAGAGTTCAGATTGCTCACCTGTATGCCAGTTGACGATTAAGGCCATCCGTTGGATGTCAACACACGCTGGTGTGGAGCAGCTCAAAATTGCGTGGCGCCCTTTGATTGAGAGTTTCTTAAAAAGCAGAACCCCCAAAGAGCTCAAGGAGTCCATTCCTATTTCTCTGTATACAATTGTGCAATTCGAGCGGAGAATCCTTATGGCTACCTGTACCACAGCTGAAATTGTCATGCTGGCGTCCATTTTGGCATGCGTGTGGGGTGGACTCCGTTTTGCTGATGCACAAAGATGCAATTTCAAAAGTTTCTGTTTTGATGGGGCGTCGTTCAGAGCCACCTGTTGGAGAACCAAGACATCGTCCAGGGGACAACCTTCGGGCTTTGTGGCGCATGGCCTTTTGTCATTGGGTACATATTCATGGATTCATGGACTGAAAAATGGCTGACGACCCTGGATGAGTTGTGGCATCATGCAAAAACAACTGATTTGGATATGCAAGTCCCGGACTTTTTATTTCCGGTCATGCGTCATGATGGCATTGAGTTGCCATGGTCGGCAATGCAATACGCAGAGGCGTTGAAATGGATTCGCCATTTGGCCCGGCTTCCTTGGAAAAGCACCCCACAAAC